AATCTCTAGTCAAGGCAAAAGCCTGTTATGAAAGAACAAGAAAACTAACAGTCTTACCTTATTCTGTTGTTGTCAGCTGCTATTAAGTTGGTTCCATCTCATAACGACCCTATATACAGCAGAAACACTGCCAAATCCTGTGTAATCCTCACAATTGTTGTTATGGTTAAGCCCATTGTTTCAGTCACTGTGTAAATTCACCTCCTTGAAGGTCTTCTTATTTTTCGCTGACCCTCTAATTTACCAATCATGTCCAATCTGGAGGAATTGGACACTCCTGATCAAATGTCTAAAGAACTTGAGCCGATGTTTTGCCATCTTTACTTCTAAGGCTTCTAAGGAGCCTTCTGGCTTTACTATTTCCAAGACAGATTTGTTCATTCTTCTGGCAGTCCTTAATATATTCATTATTCTTTGTCATCACTATAATTCAAAGATATCAGTTTTTTCTTTGTTATTCCTTATTTATTGTCCAGCTTTCATAACTGTATGAGGCAACTGAGAATGCCATGGCTTGGGTAAGGTGCACCTTAGTCCTCAGCGTGACATCTTTGCTCTTTAACACATTAAAGTAGTCTTTTGCAGCAGATTTGCACAATGCAAAAATGTCTTTTGATTGCTTGACTGCTGCTTCCATGAGAATTGATTATAGATCCAAGAAAAATGAAAAATTTGACAACTTCAGTATTCTCTCTCTTTATAATGATATTGCTTATTTGTCCAGTTGTGATGATTTTTGTTTTCCTTATATTGAGTTGTAATCCATACTGAAGACTGTAGTCTTTGATCTTTATCAGTAAGTACTTCAAGTCTTCTTCACTGTCAGCAAGCAGGGTGGTGTCATCTGCATATTGCAGGTTGTTAATGAGTCTTTCACCAATCCTGAAGTGACATTATTCTTCATATAGTACAGCTTCTCAGATTATTTGCTCAACAAACAGATTGAATAAGTATTGTGAAAGAATAAAACCCTGACACACGCCCCTCCTGATTTTAAACCATGTAGTATCCCCAGGACAAATCTGTCCTGGAGGAATTCTAGCCAGAATGCTCCTTGGAAGTGAAAGTGGCCAGACTTGTCTCACCTACTTTGGTCATGTTGTCAGAAGGGACCATTCCCTGGAGAAGGATGTCATGCTCATTCAGGTGGAGGGTTTACGAAAGAGAGGAAGGCCCTGAAGGAGATGAATTGACACAGTGGCTGTGGTGATGGGCCTAAATATAGCGAGGATCATGGAGTTGGCGCGGGAGCAGGACGTGTTTTGTTCTGCTGTGCATAGGGTCACTATGAGTTCGAGATGACTCAATGGCACCTAAGAACAACAAGGACAGTATCCCCTTCTTCTGTTTGAATGACTGCCTCTTGGTCTATGTCCAAGCTTTGCATGAGCACAATTAAGTATTCTGAAATTCCCATTCTTCTCAATGTTATCCAAAATCTGTTATGATCCACATAGATGAATGCTTTTGCATAGTCAATAAAACACAGGTAAACATCTTTCTGATATTCTTTACTTTCAGCCAAGATTCATCTAATGTCAGCTATGATATCCCTCATTCTACATCCTCTTCTGAATACCGCTTGAATTTCTGGCAGTACTACTGCAACTATTTTTGAGTTATCTTCAGCAAAATTTTACTTGTGTGTGATATCATTGATATTGTTCTATAATTTCCTCATTCCATTGGATCACCTTTATTTAGAATGGGGACCTGTGTACATTTCTTACAGTCAGTCGACCAAGTAGCTGTCTTCTAAATTTCTTGGTATAGAAGAAGGAGACAAGGTAGTGGCCTGACGAGACCTTCCACCCAGTCCTTCTACAAGAAAGACCTGAGAAAACAAGTGAAATAGAACCAAATGATAATCCAAATTTCTTGATATGAAAGAATGAGTGCTTCCATTGTTGCATCCTATTCTAGACTAACCTAATTCATAATCTCATGTTAATGCTACAAACAATCCTGAGAGTTCAAGAGCAGTATTTTTCTTTTCCAAATGGAGAAACTGGCTCAGACAGACTAATTTCTTCTCAAAATTCATCCAGCTAAAGAGGTAGAGGACCCAGTAGTTCATAGCTGTCTGGGTTCACACTTTCCTCTCAAAACAAACACTGTTAGTTTTGTTAGAGGTTTTTTTTTTTTTTTTTTTTTTTTGTCACAAATCATGGAGATTGGAAAGAAAGAGATAGGGTATGACGAAGTTTTCCAAGCACATATAAGAATGTGACAAGATAACTAATAAATATTTGTTTGAATAGAAGTAATTCAGGGTGAGGATGAACATTTTATTAGTTAATGAGTCTTAGGTACAGTAGCAAAAATAAATAAATTTAAAATAACATTTTAAATTCAGAGCTACCCTAAATCATATAAGAGAAAGGCATTTGAGAAAGAAAAAAAAAGGCAGGCAAACTAAGAAACCAAAGAATGTCCTAATGCATCACTTCAGTGTCCAGGAAATAGTCATGGTTGTATGTCTATGTATGGCCATTACTTAGCCTTATTTCCCAGGTCATCTCAGCCCAACTTGCAGCCACACTGGACCCTTTCTCAGACTCAGGCTTCACTTCCCACCTTAGTGCCTCTGCTATGCACTTCCTTCTCTATTTAATATACTCAGTGTTTTTGTTCTCTTGTGCCACTCTAACAGAAAATACCATAAGTGAATGATTTAAACAAACAGGATTTTATTCTCTTACAGTTTGGGAGGCTAGAAGTTTGAGTTCAAAGTACCAGGTCTAGGGGCTGGGCAAAAGCCCCATGACCTTGGGCTTTAGCTCTGCCTCTTGCTTCCAGCCCACTAGAGCCAGAGACACCTCTTAACTCAGGTAGCTGCTGGCTGCTGAGGCTGACAATCTCAAGGTTGACAAAATGGCACAGTACCAAGATTATCAAACAACATGGCAAGCTACTAATTCAAGTCCATTAACAGTCCCAAGATCAGCAGACAACATGGCAGGCTGCTAAATGAAGACTCGGCTACATGAAGGTCCAAACATGCCCTTATACACTGGAAGCAGACCATATCCCGAAGGCAGCCACTCAGCTGCTCCAGTAGATTCCACCATGGAATTGATTACCAGTCTCATCATGGGTAATAACTATATCCAGCGGCCCACACATTTAAAAACAGGCCCAGCCAAGCTGACACAAAACTACCACACTCAGTCACTCATTATATTTATCGTTAGTACTTTTGTTTACTTGTTTTGTGCTCTTGTCTGCTTGTCTTGTGATTCACTACAAGATAATAACTTTCAATAAATGCTATGAAGACTACTGGACATAAATTTATAGTTCTTATGGTTGTGCTGAGAAGGCAACCTGAAATCCTGTGGCACTCCAGGGCTCTGTTTTATCCCTGAACTAGGAGCTTATCAAGCTTCCTCCAGCCAGCCTGTGGCCTGAGAGCATATCAGGGTTGGGTCATCAGTCAAAGCTGACCTGTCTCAAGTGAATGGTGAGTATTTCAAGGACTTCTGCACTGAGTTCTGCACAAATCATCAGACCCTTCTCTTTTTTTTCCCTCAAAGAATTTTCTTTCTTAGATTTAATTTCTGCATAATATTATATATTAATAGTTTTCTTTTTCAATCCTTTAAGATTTAAATCGAAATGTCTAGAAAGACCTGGAATATTTTTCTTCTGTGATCTCAGATTATTTTCCCTCATATTCTACAGGGTCCTGGGAGCATGAGGAACTTATTATATATTTTAGGGTGAATACTGACTGTCACCTTATGTTACATAAAAGATGCATCACACAACACAGTTATGAGCCCAAGTCTTATCCATTAATCATATTAACCGATGCCTTTGGATTCTGAGTATCCAAACTTATACCTGCTTCATTTAATCTAAAGAAAAAATGAAAATGAGACCCTATTGTAAGGTATGTGAAACCCATTTTAGTAGATTACTCCATTTAACCTGGTAGCATTTCCATTGGTGTAAAATGGTATATAAAGTTAAAAAAAATATAATGTATATATATATATATATACACATATACATACATATATATATACACATACATATATATGTATATGTATATCTATCTATCTATCTATATATATATATGTATGTATATATAGAGAGTTTATCATGTTTTTATACTTGTGCTCTCTATGTTTGTTTTATCAAGAGGATTTTTCACCAAACTGCAAACAGGGCCTGCTTATTGTGTTCTTAAGAAAACTAGAAAAAAACAAACACGATATGTATTTCTTAGGCATTAATTGCTTCTTCTTCTTGTTTCCATTTTTCAAAGTCCTATGTACTCCATCGTTACTCATAGCATGCAAAGATGGTTATTCATATTTCCCTCCTATTATACCCCAAGTCTCAAAATAATATTTCTTCTAAGATAAACATCATGCTATCATAAATGGGAGCCACCGACTAGCATATACTCTAATACTGTACTGAAAAGCAATTTTTTTTGAGCTCCCAGTACTTAGAGAACAGGTAAATGTCTCTGTCTATAATTTTCAATCAGTCACTTTATTGTTCGGAGAAGTAGATGACAGAATAAACACTATAGTCCTCTTTACGAAACAAACAAACAAACAAACATAAGGAGCACAAGTATAAAAACATGATAAAAATTATTTGTTTATTTATTTTAATATTTAACTTTATACCATTTTACACGAATGGAAAAACTACTAGGTTGACTAGAATATTCTGCCAAAATGGGTTTCACATGCCTTACAATAGGGTCTCATTTTCACTTTTTCTTTAAATTACATGAAGCAGGTATAGGTTTGGGTCCTCAGAGGAGAAGAGGAAGCATAAAAAATCGGAGGCGCAGGTAGACAGACAGGTTGATAATAGCACTGAAGACCTGCTGCTTCTATGACACAACTGCAATGACTCACTATGCAACAGAACAATCATTCAAAGATTTATGATAAATGCACACAGTAGCAAATATCAATAAATTAATAAAACAATTATAAAAACAAACAAGAAAACAGCTTTTCCAGTATTCTTACTTGGAGGCAGATCCTGCATTTTGGGGATGTGAAAATACTCCCTGAAGTGCCTCAGGGTGTCTTCCTCATCAAGGTGGAGAGCAACCCTCTCATCTGTAGGGTGACATCTGAGTTGAGTCGCAATGCGTTGTACTGTGTCAGCTGGTAATTCAAGGGGTGAGGGCTCCATTGCAAGTTGTTCTCTAAAAATTAAAACAATCAATAGGCATCATTTTTCTGTAGAAAATCACCACATAAGTAAAGCACTTTTTTTTTAAACTAAGGTTCCCATCTTCTCACCTTCTTCTAAAATAATAATATAATTTTCAGAAATAATATAATTGCCAAGTGATATTAAACCCCATGCTTGAGTTTTTCTTATCTATAAAATTAAGACAACAGTAACTTAAGTTTGTTGAAATGATTGAATTAGATAATATGCGTAAAGCCATTATAATGGTATTCAGGATAAAGAAAATGCTAAATGCAGGCTATTCCCAACCTTATTGTGCTGGAAATGTAGACTCCATTGTGACTTTCAAACATATTTAGCTTTATGACTTTCTTGCTGACTATCTTACTAGAGGTTTATCTTACTAGGGAACAACATTAAATATCATTTTGTGAAGGTGTAGGAAAAACAATGCCCCATCTAGCTTCTCCTTTTCCTTGTCCCAAATCCACTATTATATCCCTAGTTTTTCTTGGATCATAGTTTTACAACTCTCACCATGTGAAAATTTGGACCTCAACTGTGAGATGATTCATTTAATTAGAAACAAGAGGATATATTAAAGAATCATAGAGAGAAGCTTTGTAATGGTAGAGTCTAATAAGGGTATAGAGGCTCTGGTGGTGTAGTGGTTAAAGAACTTGACTGCTAACCAAAAGGTGAACAGTTCAAACTCACCAGCTGCCTGTGACAGAAAGATGTTAACAACTTCTTCCGTAAAGATTTGTTGCTGTTGTTATGTGCCGTCAAGTCGGACCCAACTCATAGCAACACTTCCTTGGGTTTCTGAGGCAATATCACTACGGAAGGAGATTGCCCCACCTTGGAAATCCTATTGGGCAGTTCTACTTTGTCTTACAAGTTCACTAAGAGTGGCCTTGATAGCAGTGAGTTTAGTTTATTTTTCTTTAGCAAAAGTATTGTTATGAGTGACTCATTTTTTTTTCAGAATAAAACAGAATGACTGATATGCCAGCAGCAGGAATTATCTAGCTGAGAGGGGAATAGCTGTGGCTCCTGACAAGGTTAGAGTACAATCCAGACTTTACAAGAATCACTGAAATTTTCCAGGCAATAAGGTTATGTGAAAGGTGTTGGAGGCTCACCTACTTGGTTGATCCTTAAACATTTTGAGTTGTTTTTTTTTTGCTTCATTATCAAATATATCTTTATCATACATCCATTACTTATGGCAGCTTGAGTTGTTGGTTTATACTACTAAACTGTATTCTACCAGAAGGCCTGAATCTTGTTTAATTTAACTTTGAAACCACTCATTGTCAAATAATACTTTGTAGATAACAACAACAACAACAACAACAACAACAAAATACTCAAACTCACTGCCATTGAGTTGATTCTGAGTAAAAAAAAAAAAAAACAAACAAAAAACCCTCATTAGGTTTCAAAGGCATAGATATTTACAGAAGTAGAATGTCTCACCTTTCTTCCACAGAGTAGCTGTTGGGTTTGAACCACCAACCTTCTGGTTAGCAACCAAATGCCTTAACCACCATACCACCAGAACTCCTTACCTTGCAGTGTTTCAAAATTTGGCAGTTTAATAAAAGAATACACAAACACAATTAGTAAATTATCTGGCCTTCTCATTCCATTATCTCAGGAAATAGTAAAGAACATTTCCGTTGAGACTCAGAATCAAGAGAACGTGCCTTCTATTTGGGACTTAATTTGGGAAGTCAGCACTTTTGACAGTTCACTGCTCTCCCTAAATGAGAATACTTAAAAAATAAATGGATTACTTTGCTACAATTATATTCCAGTGAAGTTCAAATTTCCTTATTTATTTATTTGTTTTAAAGGCTACTCATTAACTTCTTTATATTTATGTCTCTCTTAGTCCTAATAATCCTGAGGGGTCAGAATCATTTTCTTCCATTTAAAAACTGTGTTGGTTCTCTAGTGCTACTACAACTGAAATATCAAAAATAGACTGTTTTAACAAATAGAAATTTATTCTCTTACAGTTTATTCTCTTACAGGAGACTCAAACCAAAAGTAACAAACTCACCGCCATTGACACATAGTGACCCCTCCTTAGGTTTCTATAGTGGTATCACTATAGAAGCAGATTTCCCCACTTTCCTTCTGAGGAGTGCCTGGTGGGTTTGAACCATCAGCCTTCTAGTTAGTGGTCAAATGCCTTAGGCACTACACCACAAATCTAGAGTTTTGGCACAGCGGTCTAGGTGAAGGCCGCTCAATCATGGGCTTCATCTCTGCCCCTTGCTCCAGGTTCATTGGATCTAAAAGCATCTCCTAACTCAGCAAGTTATTGAATGCTGAGGCTGGTGAACCCAAGATCAGCAGTCCACACGACAGGGTTCAGATCCAACAGAAAATTCTCTAACTTTCCCAGGATGTCCATACATATATTGGAAATAGCCCATACCATGAAGGAAACTTCCTTTTAACTGATCAAGTGCTCAAAGCATAT